GTCTGTCTGTCTGTCTGTCTGTCTGTCTGTCTGTCTGTCTGTCTGTCTGTCTGTCTGTCTGTCTGTCTGTCTGTCTGTCTGTCTGTCTGCTCTCTATACCTGATGCTCCGTTTGTCTTTTATTCTATACATCTGACGTTCTTCTATTTGTCACACCTTTTAACCCCCCCCCCCTCCTGTCCTCTGATATTAACTCCTCTCATAACCATGTTGTACCTTGCAAATTCGTTCCTCATTGGCAACGTGTTGTCTCCTCTTACAGCCAAAGGGAAGCAACCACAGCTCATTGCTCGACAACCCCGTAGAAATCATTCAGGTAGTCGTTCTTTGATTGATTTCTGCTGCCGCTGCTCGCGCTACAGCTTGCTGCTTTCACTTGTTACACTTTCTTTTCAACCAACCAACCAACCTATCAATCAACCAATCAGTCAATCAATCAATCAATCAATTAACCAATCAACCAATCAATCAAGCAATCAATGTACCAGTCGGTCAATCGGTCGCTCATTCAATCAATCGGTCAATCCATCAATCAATCAACCAGTCAATCAATCAATCGGCTAATAGTTCAATCAATCAACCAATATATCGATCAATCAAATAACATTTCTTATGTCTAACAGGACAACGTCCCAACTTTTCCAATAAGTAGTCCATCTATAGATCCGTCCTTCTCTCAATAAATTGGCAAATCTCTAGATAAATGTGTTCATCACTAAACGAACCATTGCAGATAAATCAGCCGATGACTCAATACACCAGTCTGTCTATTTGTCAGTCAAATTATCAGATCATTCTTGTGAACCAAAGGCGAATATTAGACCCAGATAACAACTTAACAGTACTTGTTTTCAATTAATTGTAGCTTCAGTTTTCCAAGGAATCCATTTCCCTTCATCATGCAATCTCCCACATAGTTATATCTCACACTGTTCTCTGTATATCCCATTCTGTCCTGTGTTTAAATTTCTCCCTGATTGATTGATTGTACACATTCTGGGGTTGGGTTTTTGGGGGTTTTGTTTTGTTTTGTTTTGTTGGTTTTTTGTTTTGTTACTCAGTTCTTACTAAGATAAAAACGTAGTCATTTATTTGGCTAGAGCTGCTGCCGCACCCTTCCCCTTTTGTTTCCTCTTTTCCTT